TCAGCCTCCATAACTGTATGAGCAATTCCCTATAATAAAATAGGTAACTAAATACTCTCCTATTGGTTCCATCGGCTCTGGTCTCTGGGGAACCTTGACCACACCCTCAGCCTCCCCCCAACGCATGGGGGCTGCCTGCCTGGCCGGGCACTTCTCAGTGATATACCCTGGTTCTGAGACCTGGGAACCCGCATAGACAGAACCCTGAGCCAAGTCAGGAAGAGGGTGGCCAGTCTCCCCACCCAGCCACCTCCGCTTGGCCTAGGGCAGCTCTCTGTAGCCACGTTTCCACATTTCACACTAATAGGTTTCCTAGGGGACACGGCTTTCCCTGACCTAGAGGCCTCTAGCACAAGGGACAGGCTTACCTTCAGGTAACTTCCTTTCCGAATGGAGGGTCCTGGGGAGGGAAAGGACAGAGAGAGAGGAGTAAGATGACCTTTGCAGGCAACAGGAAGGGCCTGCCGGGGAAGCCTGCCACGCCCATGGTCCCTCTAGGTCAGCTTCTAGGTCGTTTCTTTTGCATAAGTTGGCACATAGATTTATGCTACAGCTGAAGGGCCCACGGTGGGCACCTTACCCAAGGACAGCCAGTCCCAATCTGGAGGCTGGCCACGGGCTGACGAAGAGCCCCAGCTCAGGCCTTGCCCATCAGAGAGGAAGGGGTGGACGCTTCAAGGTTTTTCTTTCTGAAATTGTAATGTGAGTATGGTGGGAGACTATTTTATTTTTAAAATATATTTTTATTGATTTCAGAGGAAGGGGGAGGGAGAGAGAGATAAAAACATCAGTGATGAGAGAGAATCACTGATTGGCTGCCTCCTGCATGGCCCCCACTGGGGGTCAAGCCCACAACCCAGGCATGTGCCCTGACTGGGAATCAAACCGTGACCTCCTGGTTCATAGGTCAACGCTCAACCACTGAGCCATGCCAGCCGATGGGAGACTATTTAAAATGCTGACATTTCTTCCCTGCACCCTCCCTCCTTTCTGACCTGCCCCACTCACTCCCGACTCTGACAGTGGAGCTGTGTCTCCTCCTTCAGAGGAGGCAGGCCCCAGAGCAGCGATTTCAGAACCTCTGGGCCACTTTGTTTTAAAAGCTGAGGGTGGGAGATGAGGCAGGTAGTCCGGACACACAGACACACATGAAAAGGGCTTCTTGGGAGCAGAGGCTAGAAGAGAAGTTGGATAGAAGTGATCAAGTATGAGCTCTGAGAAGTAGAAAATCAGAGAAAGGTTCCTGGGATCCTGAGCAGAAGGCGACTGGTCCTGCAGTCCGGATGGACCCTGGTGTGTTCGGAGTTCGGGGCGGTTGGCGTCCTCCAAGGAAAGAGGTGGGATGCGGTTCTCAGCTAAGGTGAAAGGTGAGCACGGGAGACACGCAGCTGGGCCGAACCTGCACGGTGCCCTGGGGCTGAGGAGGGTACTGGAGGAGGCAGAATGGGGGTGGGGGGGTATGGGAGCCAGAGCGCAGGGCGCCTGTGGTGCAAGGAAGCCAGGCAGAGGCCGAGGAGCAGCCAGAGGGGCAGAGGAGAGAGCACCACAGCAGTGACAGGCAGGGTCAGACACCACAAAAAGGTCAAGACCAATGAGGACTGAAATATACCCAGGGGGGCTGTGGGACGATTTTGGTAGGGTGGTGGGAGTAGGAGGCAGGCAGAGGGGAGGAAGGACAGAGGTCGAGGGACTGGTCCTCTGCTCAGCAGGGTGGGAAGTCTGTGCGCAAGAAGACACCAGGTCCAGCGAGCAGCAGCGCCTGAGGACTGCGAGAAATAACCCGCCTTCCCCTCTGGCAGGATGGTGCTATTGGGCAAAGCTGCCAGCCACTCTGGTCTCAAACACAGAAGGACAACTGCCTGAGGCTGAGAGAAGGGGCCATGCTGGGGAGGCAGGAAGAGAAGGAACAAGGCCAGCAGGAGAGGGACTTGGGGACGAGGAGGGAAAGGATAAGAGTAAGAAGCAGACCTGTGCTCTGCAGGGGCACAGCCGGCCTCAAACAGCTGTGGCGCCAGCAGCCAGGGAGCCACCTGAGAAAACCATACTTCCAAACCATGCCTGGAATGCATATGGCATATGGGGAGTTCAGACGAGCAGGAGGAAGAACTCCGGAGCTTTCTGGGAAACAGTGTAAGATGCTGGGACAGGGAGACTTTTGGGGCATGAGATGGGGAACTGACGACTGTGAGCTTCCCAGGCGTGTCCCTGTGTGGGGAGAGGGGCCGCTGTGAGATCACTTTCCGAGGAGCATGGACTTAGGCACATCAACACACTGTTTATCTCAAGCACAGTGACCCTTACCCGCACATAAAGCTGTACCCAGGCTCCTTTCCAAAGGAAGTGTCCCCACAGTTCTGTCTGCATGAAGCTGTCCCTGGGGTTCTTTGCCAGATGGAAGCCTTCCCCGCTTTCCCCAGTTCAGTGGTGGGGACAGGGAGGGGACCCACCCAAATTAGCCTGCAGAGCCCTGCAACAGTCGTGGTGTTTGCAGCAGCCCCGATCCGGCCTCTTCTCTGGGGCAGCTGGGTAGTAAGTGCCAAGGCTCAGCGTGCAGTGGAATGAGGGGAGCCACCCCTTCAGCGCTCCATGGGGCTGACCATCCACTCTAGTCTTGGGAGCCAAGGCCTCAGAGTAACCACAGGGTCGGTTGGAAAGACCCCTCCTGGGTGTCCTCATCTTCCCACGTGTCTTCATGAAAAATTGCATCTCTGGCTGTAACCGGGGGATGCGTCTTCCCTGAACCTGAGGGGCCCAAGGCAGGTTCAGGTCTTTCTACAAGTGGCGCCTCCGGCTGGGATAGGATGTGAGGAGTCTTCCTCAGGCGGGAGCAGGCTTGCCGCCCTGCGTCAGGGAAACGGGGATGGTGTGGAAAGACTGTGGGTATTACATATGCCCACACATATGTAATACTCTTTGTAATACTTTAAGCAATAAAACAAAATTTAAAAAAAAAGAAAGACTGTGGGTGATGATTTATAGCCTCTTCCAGGGGGCGACGCACACATTAGGGACGAAGCTGGAAGGCTCTGATACTGGATGGGAATGCAGAGGCAGCAGACAGACGAGGCACTAAATGGAGCCCCTGGGTTCCTGGGGTCTGGGGCTGCCTCTGCCACCCCAGCCTGGCAGTGCCGGGCAAACCGCCTCCCTGCCTGGGCGAAACGAGCAGGCCCAACTGGACAGCTAAGGTCATTCCACCGTCACGCATTTCTCTGCTCCCTGCTGAGAAGGCTGGGCCTGCCGAGAAGGTGAGAAGATAAGCCCTTCACTTCAAGTTGCCCCTTTCCTTCCTCGGTAGTTGGGCCAGGTCTACCAAGCTGCTGCCAAGGCGCCCACGGGAAGCCCTTCTCCTGAGGACGGGAAACAGGACGTATGTTCGTATGACCCTGAGTGAGTCCCTAATATCTTTGAGGTTCAGGTTTTATTTGTTACTGGTAAAATCCACATCAGTCAAATAGGGTGATTGTGGAGTACAAACGAGATTTCATGTTATGTATATACATCCCCCTCCTGCAAAGAAAGATATGAAATAGTGTATAAAATATACAACAGCCTGGCTGGGTGGCTCAGTTGGTTAAAGTGTTGTCCCGTGCACCAAAAGGTTGCGGGTTCAATTCCAGGTCAGGGCATATACCTAGGTTGTGGGTTCGATCTCCAGTTGGGGCGCATACAGGAGACAACCAATCTATGTTTCTCTCTCTCATCAATAAAAACATATCCTTGGGTGAGGAATATACATATATATAAAACAGATGACAACAAAAATGAATGAGAATAGGGAGGAAAAAAAAGATGAAGCCAGGAGGCACACTGGTTCACACAACTCAATCCTTAAAGTCTCGTACATGTGCTACTAAGAGTTGCAAATTTGGCCCTAAAGGTTTCAGTGGTCAAAGCAAAGACAGAAATTAAATCAGTTACCCCTTTGCTGTGTCCATGGTGTAAAACACACACACACACACACACACACACACACACACACACGCACGCAGCTGTTTGGGAGATGAAACAATAGGACTTGAGAGAGATTTCTCACGGGGAGAATGCGGGAGATGTATGAGCACCATCACCACCACTGCCACCACCGCTCGCTGCTAACAGTGCAGTTTCATGGGCTCACGGTGCTTCAGAAACCATCCCTCCGAGCAAATGACAAACGTCTCCCCCCATGACCCAGAGCATCGTACCTCACAGCTGCATACAGAGCAACATGATTGCGGTGACCACTCACTCCCCCGGCATCGAAAGTCACCACCTGCAGAGAAAGAGAGGGTTGCACTCCTGCCCTGACTCCAGCCAGCTGTGCCCTCCCTTGGGCAGGACAGAAGAGAGCAGGGCCGGGAACTCTTCACGCTCTGAGCATATCTGAACTGACTCTGGCTCAGATCCGTGGTGTGTAACTATGGGTGTGGCCGACTGTATGGAGCCTTTTCCACAGGAGTTTTGCCGTTTGTTCTTGTTCCTGGCGGTGGAGCAGAGTGGAATTCAGCCATGATGTGCTACTAAGCTCAGAGTAGCTTTGTCTTTATCTGCCTCGCCAGTCATTAGAACATTTAGTTTTCCTGGCTGGCTGCCGTGTGGACTTTGTTCATGATGCTGCCTGCGCTATGGGTCTCTTTTCCTTGTGCCTTACTGAGGGCACAAAAGCTTTAGGGGACAATTTCCACCATGGCCTGGGGTTAAGTTCACAGCAGAAATACGTTTATTCATAGACGGCCTCCGCTTCCATTTCCACAAATATAGATCTCTTTATTAACTAAAAACTTAGATTCCAACATTTCAGTTCTACATAGATGGATTTTAAAAAGCCCAAAGAACAATTTAAATAATAATAATGATAATATAATAATAATAAAAGGATAACTTGGATAAAAGAAATATTTTACAGAAATCAAGGACCCAGAAAAAGGAATAGTACTAGTTGGTTAGGGGTGATGGAAAGAAGCAAGCTGTCCCCAGAGGAGGAAGCCGACCACATAGCATAGATGAGGGTCCTGAAACTGGAATTGGAAGAGGCTGGGAAGGAATTCATGACCAGTCTTTCTTTATATATATATTGATTTCAGAGAGGAAGGGAGAGGGAGAGAGAGATAGAAACATCAATGATGAGAAAGAATCATTGATTAACTGCCTCTTGCACAGCCCCCACTGGGGATTGAGCCTGAAACCCATGCATGTGCCCTGACTGGGAATAAAACTGTGACCTCCTGGTTCATAGGTCGGCGTGCAACCACCAAGCCACACTGGCCGGCATGACTGGTCTTTCGATACTACACCATATAAAATGTGTTTACTTCATGTACAGGAAACTGTGAGCAGCTAACTTTTACTGAGCATAGGCTGGAGGGTGGGGTACAGATGGAAAGAAAATGTAGTCTTATCCACTGATCCTGATTCAAACAAGCTATAAAAAGAAAAACGAATAAAAACACATTTATGGCATGAGACTATTGGAAATGCAAAACATTGATATGAATTAATTTTAGGGGTGATAATGATATTAATGTTAATGAAATATTCAATGTCTTTTAGAATTACATACTAAAATACTTAAATAGGAAATATGATGAAAAGGATTTGTTTCAAAATAATGTAGGAGGTGGGGGAGGTGGGCTGAGTAATAGGAACATAGAGGTTCACTAAACTATTTCCTCTACTTTTGTATGCTTGAAATTCTCTATAATCAAAAGTTTAAAAAAAATCTGAGTTAAAGATTTATAAAAAGCTAATCATATAATACTGAATATATGTCATTATGCATATTTCAAAATCCATGGAATATACGACACCCAAGTGAGCCCTCACGTACACTATAGACTTTGGGTGATGATGACGTGTCAGTGCAGGTTCACTATTGCAACAAATTGCAGAGGACAGGGGTTATGTATGGACTTTCTGCTCAGTTTTGCTGTGGATGGAAAACAGCAGCCTATTATGTTGTACACCTGTAACTAAAATAATATTTTATGTCAACTGTAGATGAAAAAATTTTAAATACAGTCTATTAAAAAACCAGTTAACTATCTAACTCAAGTGCTGATCCCATTCTTTTTATTTTTTTAAAGTATATTTCCTTATTGATTTCAGAGAGGAAGGGAGAAGGATAGAGGATAGAAACATCAATGATGAGAGAGAATTATTGATCGGCTGCCTCCTGCATGCCCCCTATTGGGGATCGAGTCTGCAACCCGGGCATGTGCCCTTGGCTGGAATCGAACCCGGGACTCTTCAGTCTGCAGGCTGATGCTCTATCCACTGAGCTAAACTGGCTAGGGCTGATCCCATTCTTCATGTAACAAGGTGGGTGCAGGGGCTGCAGCTGCTCCACTCAGGACACTAGTTACCCCAGCCCTGTGGTCGGCAAACTGCGGCTCGCGAGCCACATGTGGCTCTTTGGCCCCTTGAGTGTGGCTCTTCCTAAGCCTTAGGAGTACCCTAATGAAGTTAATAACAATGTACCTACCTATATAGTTTAAGTTTAAAAAATTTGGCTCTCAAAAGAAATTTCAATCATTGTACTGTTGATATTTGGCTCTGTTGACTAATGAGTTTGCCAACCACTGCCCCAGCCCGTCGGGCAAGTCACAGAACTTTACCACTGGGAGTTCTTCCAACTTCCAATGTCTTGTTTCGTCATCTGAGGGATCAGGAAAATAACACCTGCCCTCCTTTCCTCCTTGGGTTGAGGTGAAGATAAAATAAAGCCACGTGGGCCTTAGCTGTCTGGCTCAGTGGATAGAATGTCGGCCTGCAGACTGAAGGGTCCCGGGTTTGATTCTGGTCAGGGACACATGCCTGGGTTGCGGGCTTGATCCCCAATAGGGGGTGTGCAGGAGGCAGCCAATTGATGAGTCTCATCACTGATGTTTCTGTCTCTCTCCCCTTCTCCCTTACTCTCTGAAATCAATAAAAATATATTAAAAAAATAAATAAAGCCACGTGGAAGTGTGCGGAACCACACAGCAACACAGGCTTGAGTGTCTAGCACTCGGTCGGGACAGCAGACAGCTGGCCGCTGGGCCAGGTTACCACAGGCACGCGGGGATTTGGGGCCACTGGAGTTTCCCTCAGGCACTTTTCAAATTCTCCAAGGTCTTTGTTTCTTCCTCATTTCACATTTTTGGGGTGGGGTGGGGGGTAGGGGACCTTTGTTATTTTCAAAGGCTCACACAAAGCCTAGGTCTAGGTTCCTCCCACACTGGCAAGTTTATCCTCAGCTTAGAAAAATGTTTCTCTAGATTTCAATAACCAGGGAAAATATCAACAAGAGAAAAAGTTCCTCCTTTGTAGGTGATTTGGCTTTTTGCGTTGCTACCTTTAAGATGTTGGTGTGCTGCGGCTCCACTATGATATACCTGCGTATGGGTTTCCCTCCTCCTGTGGGACTCACTGGACTGCTTGAAATGGTAGGTTAAGGTCTTTCTCATTCTGGAAAAGTTTCAGCTACTTAAAGTTTCACCTTTAAGTATTTTCTCTGCAACCACTTTCTGGTCTCCCCTTTCAATAAATGACAAGTAGACAAAAAACTAAGTAAAAACATAGATTTAAAAATATGATTACTAAACAACTGAGTGAACAAATACAAAGGGCTGCATCCAACAACTGAAGAATTCTCTTCAAAAAGGCACAGGACTTTCTCTAGAAATTGGCCATTTTGTGACCCATAAGGCAAGCTGTCCACATCATCTCACACTTTCCCTCTTCCTTCTGCAGTGAGGAGGGCTGAGTCTGGTGCACCCAGCTCCCTGGACCTTTGCAGATTTGTGCATGGCACCTGCAGTTCATAGATCCCACCCACTTCTCCCACTAAGCTGCAGCCCAGCTGTTCTTATGCACTGAAGTAGGGGAGGAGAGAGTGTTTGGGGGCTGGCCCTGGGATACCAAGGGGTACTGCAGCACACCTCGCAGACCTCATTGTCAAACTTCAGCTGGTCTTGAAGACCAGCTCTGTCTACACATCTGAGCTCTGGAGCCATGAGAAGTTCTAACTGTGTGGGCTGGGCAGTCAATATGGCAGAGCCCTAACCGGTTTGGCTCAGTGGATAGCGTGTCAGTCTGCGGACTGAAGGGTCCTAGGTTCGATTCCGGTACCTTGGTTGCGGGCACATCCCCAGTAGGGAGTGTGCAGGAGGCAGCTGATCGATGTTTCTAAATCCCTCTCCTTCTCCTTCTCCCTTCCTCTCTGTAAAAATCAATAATATATATCAGGGAGTTGGACTCCTAAGCCCAGGGCCACAACCCTCTGGTTTTCACACTCAGACCCCCAGGTGTGTTGTCAACAGGTGAGAGGTGTGGACCTGCAAGCTGCTGGTCCACACTTTCCAGCCAGGAAAGAAAACAAAACACTGCACCGAGCAAGACAGAGACGAGCCGGCAGGCCCAGGCCCACCTGCCACTCCACCTGATGGGATAAGGAGGGAGCCAGGCAGGTGCTCTGTTGCCATTCACACAAAGACAGCTGACTATGAAATCTGTCATCAGAAAAAAGACGGTCTGACCAATTAATTAATGAAAATCTGTCTTACGAACGGCCCAATAATCACTTCCCTCAGCGAATTCATCAAGACGAAAGCCTAGCGTGGCTCTCTGCAGAAGGGCTCACCTTTCAACAAGGCCTTATCGAACTCAGTGTTTATTTGGCTTGGACTTTATGGTTTGTTTGTTTTTTTAATATATTTTATTGATTTTTTACAGAGAGGAAGGGAGAGAGATAGTTAGAAACATCGATGAGAGAGAAACATCGATCAGCTGCCTCCTGCACACTCCCTACTGGAGATGTGCCCGAAACCAAGGTACATGCCCTTGACCGGAATCAAACCCGGGACACTTCAGTCCTCAGGCCGACACTATCCACTGAGCCAAACCGGTTACGGCTTGGCTTGGACTTTAAATGGCCAGATTTTAGGTGTCAACTCACGAAGGGCTCTTATTCTTGTTGTTTTAGAAATAGACGATAAGCAGGCTTAAACTTGACCACTGGCGAGGCCCGCTCCCGCCGATCCTAGGAGAGCGGATGGGGTTCCCAGGCGTGCCCACCCCTGCAGGTGAGTGTGAATTTCCTCTATGGTGGTCTCAAATGTTCTCCCTGTGGGTGTGAATTTATCCTTGTGTTTTTTTGAAACTGAGGATGAAAGTTCTAATTTTGCCACTTGCTGAACTTGGGCTAGCTGCCAGCCTCTGGAAACTCAATTTCCTTGATGTAAAATGAGATTATAACCTTTACCTCTGAAGTTAAAACAATACTCTAAATGTGAAAATGCTCGGTGAAAGGGGACGTTTTGTACAAATGAGAGTTGCAGGCCAGGCTCCTTGGGGGCCTGAGCTTTCAGGTGGCAGGACAGAGGACACCACAGAAAGGCCTCTGCCTCCGAGCGCTGGCAGTTTGGTTACTTAGTCTCCCAAAAGGTGTGTTGTCACCAGGAGGTTTGAGAGAGAGCGTGGAGGGTTCGCCTCTTTTGGAGTGGCCCTGGAGACAGGCTGGGGGGGTGGGGGAGGGTGGCCACAGGAAAGGTGTGACTGGGAGGGCGTCCCGTACCAGGTTGATGTCATTCACTTCTATGTGCTGGAGGAGGACGCTGGCCACATGCTCTGTGTCCCACTCCACACCCGGGTCATCTGGGAAATACCTGGAAGGAAGAAGCACAACTTGAGCACCGTTTCTAACCAGGTGCAACCTCTCCCTAAGCTCCCGGGTGGGCGCCAGTCTTGTGACAGGAATTGTAGGGGGGCTGCCATAACATCCAGATTTCTCTTGAAAGAGGTAAACATTAGAAACAGCACACAACTAGAAATCGATGGACAACCCCACGGAACACGCCAGGAGCTTTGGGCTCGTTGCTGAGGGGAAGAAACAGACAACAATGAGACAACGCTTTGCCTACAAGTTGGAGAGACAGATGGTAAGAGCCAACCTGGCACGGAGTGACATGTGTCTTTATAAGAGTAACCGTAATAGTGTTTTAAATGAAAGAGTTCAAAGGCGTGTCGCTTCATTCCACCTCGCGGACATCCTTTTAAGAGACATTAAGTAGCTTGCTTGAATTGTTCAAGTGGGGTCTGAACCAGGTTTTCTGATGCAAAACCAAGATGCTCTATCACCAGGGCGCCAGCAACATGCCATCCGCAACGAGGCACCGCATGGCCTGCCTCGACCAGCGGTCTCTGCAGCTGGCTCTGCACCGGATCTGTGTCTGCATTGTCCACACCACAGACCCGTGTTCTCCTGTCCCGTTCTGGTGCATGGATCTATGGCATCACCTGACACAGGCCAAGGCCTCAACTTGAACCCCTTTTTGAAGAAATTATAAAGAGATATCATATCTCTTTGGCTCAGGCCCTGTGGCAACACCCACGGCGTGACCCGGGGGACCAGGCTCTCACTGCTCCCCGCCTGGCAGGCTGCTCTAACCTCTCTGTGGACAAAAGCCACTCACTGACCCTCCTAGGACTTTGGTCAAGGGAGAGTCCCTGAAGGTTTTTCAGCATGAAAGTGGCATGAGCCTCAGCACTAAATAATATGGCTATTTATATTAAAAAAAAATATATATAGTATAGTTATTTCTACCGCTTCACTGCTACCTCTACCAAAGCCCTCGGTGCCTTCTGTGGAGGGCAGGAAGCTTTAGGCTTTTCAAACAGCATCCACGTAGCTCTCATACTGCGCCTGTAGCAAGCAGGACAGACAGCTCAACTGGTGGGGACAGACAGGGAGATAACAGAGACAGTACAAGCCTAGCCCTACTCCCTGGAAATAGAGGTAACTACGGTATGTAGAACATGAGCTGCTGAGCTCTGGCTGCTGGAGGAAAAAAGAGACAGGAATCAGGGGAAAATACCTTAGTGTGAAAACAGCTGCATGCACACTCCTGGTGGGGAGGCCCACGAAATGTATGGCATCATTCTGGAAACCAATAGTAGTCGTGTGGATGGAGCAGCAGGCTAAGGACAAGGGTGGGCAGTGGAGGCTAAGCCTACTAATCCCTGGTTCTGAAAGATGAGTCCCCGAGTGGGCGAGCCACCGTGGCCTGCATTATCTGGAGACTCGGGCCTGCTGATCCAGGGCACGTCACTCAGAGCAGGGCCACAGGACAGGTGCAATTCCAGGCCGCTCCCTCGGCGCCTCTGCCCTCTCACCGGGGAGAAGAAAGCCCATCAGAAGGGCTCTTGGACTGTACGTGTCCCCTCTGTAATCGGACACATCGATATGGCCGCACTGCTCTTACAATCAAGTCCAGACTCCTCTGGTAAGGCACTCAAGATTCTTCCCAATCTGTCTCCTATTTTGATCCACTTCATTTCTCTTTACAGAGCAAATAAGATGATGCGTGAGAGGAAGCATTTAAAGACTGTCGAGGCGTAAGTAAGTGTCAAAGTAGTGGCTATCACTGAGGCATTAGCCCAATGTCAGCTTCTTAAAAAAAAAAGAACCCCCCTTTCTTTCCTGCTCTGGAGGCCCTTGCAGAGCTCTGTGCCGACTGCCTGGGTCAGTGGTCCAGGAGATGTGCAAGACGATCCGTGGAGGGAAAGCAAGAAATCACTAGAATTTCTATATCTATATTTTTCTATCTGTTTGAATTTCTATTTTTTTAGCTATTTTATATCATATAACAGAGTTTAATGTGTACACAATTTAAACGAATAAGCCCACAAATATGGAAACGCATACTCAAATTTCATTTCTTTTTGTCAGGGGATTATGATAAAAAATACAGAGTGGGGCAAAAGTAGGTTTACTGTTGTTCAATGGACAATAATGCAGTAATTAATGAATAATAATACAAGACTAAACTGTGTTTTGTGTACTCATAGCTCTAAATCTATTTTGGCTCTACCCTGTATTTGGAGATCACTGGTCTAATCTACTCACCCTATATTTTATTTTTTTCTGTATATTTAAAAACTACTTTATTGGTATAATTTACATACTATAAAATCCACCCATTTAAAATGCACAATTTAGCCCGGCTGGCATGGCTCAGTGGTTGAGCATCGACCTATGAAACAGAAGGTCTACAAGGTTTGATTCCTCATCAGTGTACATGCCCAGGATTGTGGGCTTGATCCCCAGTGTGGGGTGTGCAGGAGGCAGCCAATCAATGATTCTCTCTCATCATTGATGTTTCTATCTCTCCCTCTCCCTTCCTCTCTGAAATCAATAAAAATGTATTAAAATAAAAAAATGTTTAAAAATAAATAAAATGCACAATTTAGTGATTTTTAGTAAATGTTTTGAACTTCTACATTTTACTAGTGTTTTGCATATATTTGGTGGAGCCAAAGGCTGCTATACCCACCAGACCGAGGGTTGAAACATACAAGTAAGAGCTTTGGAAGTTAGCAACTTGATAAAACAAATAAGGGGCAAAACACTGTATAAAGTGCAGAGGCCAGCAAGGTATCTCAATGGATCACCTTCCCTCAAGGCAGGAAAACATAAAATTTGACACTGGGAAACTTCAAACAGATAAATGTAAAAAAAGTAATTCCAGCCCTAATCGGTTTGGCTCAGTGGATAGAGTGTCGGCCTGCGGACTGAAAGGTCCCAGGTTCGATACCGGTCAAGGGCATGTACCTTGGTTGCGGGCACATCCCCAGTAGGAGGTGTGCAGGAGGCAGCTGATCGATGTTTCTCTCTCATCGATGTTTCTCTCTATCCCTCTCCCTTCCTCTCTGTAAAAAAATCAATAAAATGTATTTTAAAAAGAAAGAAAGAAAGAAAGAAAGAAAGAGAGAGAGAGAGAGAGAGAGAGAGAAAGAAAGAAAGAAAGAAAGAAAGAAAGAAAGAAAGAAAGAAAGAAAGAGAGAAAGAGAGAAAGAAAGAAAGAAAGGAGCTTTCTTAGAAGTGTCCTCGTTAAAAAAAAAAAAAAAGTAACTCCTTCTAGATCAACTGCCTGACTTGTCCTTGGCCTCAAGTTCAACCCTAATCAACTCAAGGCTTGGGTTCAAATGAAAACTTCTGCAAAGTTGCTTTCTTTTCTGATGGATTAACAATTACGCCTTAGATAAACATGCTGGCAGAATGTAAACAGAAGTGTTGCAAGAGACAGCTGGTGAACGACCTCTGACCCATAATTCTCAGTGCTGTCTCTCGTGCTGGCTGGGGTTTGTGCCTGAGGACTAGGGTTGAAGTAGCCATCTTGGTCCATGAAGTCATATTAGGGAACGAAGGCCAGACACAACAGTGACAAAAAAGAATGCAACCTTCACAACAGCCTCAGACAGCACACCTTTTCCTGTTGCAGTTACTGGGGTTTTCTGTCATTTGCCGCATTACCAAATCCTGATTTACATATGACGTAAATTTCTAAAGTCTCCATTTTATTGATTATTTAGGCCAGGGGTCCTCAAACTACGGCCCGCGGGCCACATGCAAATACAAATATTGTATTTGTTCCCGTTTTGTTTTTTTACTTCAAAATAAGATATGTGCAGTGTGCATAGGAATTTGTTCATAGTTTTTTTTAAAACTATAGTCTGGCCCTCCAACGGTCTGAGGGACAGTGAACTGGCCCCCTGTTTAAAAAGTTTGAGGACCCCTGATTTAGGCAGTTTCCAATTTTTAGTAAAGTAAAAGCTTGTAATGAGCATCCTTATACAAAACTCTTTGTATGCATCTCTCACTATGTTTTGGGGATAACATGATAAAAATGTACTTTCTGAGTCAAAGGTGAAGTGAACATGTGTAGATCTCTCAAGAATCCTGTCATGGAGAGTAGATGGAAAGTGTGTTAACTGCAAGAAGTGCAGCATTAAGGGAGTGTTTTTATAGGCCAACCTTTCTCCTGGGAACCACATGTATGTAAACCAAAGCCAGTATGAAAGCAGTAGTCAAGCCTCAGAGCAGTCAAGCTTTAGATTTAAAGCCAGGAACCACCCTTCCTATTTGACCTGAAATGTGAACCCTGCAGCAGACTGGCTTCAACAATAGTCAGGTATTCAGCAGTTAGTTCCCTTCCCAGGTGTGTGTAGGCCTACAGCGCTACAGGGAATGGTAATAAAGTTACCCAGCCTAGAAACTTTCTTTACTTGTTAGCAACGTTCTTCCTGGTTCTTATTGCAATGTTAATGAAAGAGTATGGCAATCTCTCAGGTGCTGATGTGCCCGGTAGGTTTGCTGAGATGTAAAGCTGAGGCAGAGGGATATAATGGGCTGAAACCCAGGTTTGGCAAGTAAAACAGAGATGACCACTCAGAGGCTCTGAGGACCAGGAAAGCCAGGGAGCTGCAGCAGCTGGGTGGTATGGCCCTTACTCAATGTGCTCCCCCTCTTTCGGGAGAGTCCAGCCTGTGGAGCGCTCTCAGCTCAGAAATAAGACTAGATCTCTGCACTATCTGGCGAGTGACCTTGTACCCAGACTTTCCAAGTTAGAGACCTGAGTTCTTTTTATTAGGTCTTCACTCTTTATCTCAAATCAATCAGGTGATGCGTCCTGATAAGAAGGCAGTAATAGAGAACTGGGAATAAAGGCAGAACTTCCAAGGTCCTTCACAAAGGAAGTGTGAGGACTGTTTAAAACATTAAAAAGGTGGCCCTGGCTGGGTGGCTCAGTTGGTTGGAGCATTGTCTCGATGTGCCGAGATTGTGGGTTCGATCCCTGGTCAGAGCATATACAAGAATCAACCAATG